AAAAATCGTTCTGGATTCCTTTTCTTTATTCCCTATAGGTACGTGTGGGAAATTTCATACTCCTCCGTCCGCGCAAGTTTCGTAAAAAGGGGTACAAAGTTTTTGTTTCACTTATTACCTAATATATAGATTATAGGTTTTTCATTAAACAATTGAGGTGGAATTGATATACTACCGGTGTTACTGTAAGACCGTTAGGGCCAAAAAGCTCACGAGAGGCGAACGCGCTTCGGAGAATGTGGCGTGGGAAGACCTCCTACGATTTGGACCGACTGCCTTCTGAGTGTCGCGGGAGTCCACTGGATACAGGCAACGCAGGACCGGTCATTGTGGCGAATCTTGGAGGAAGTCTATATCCAGCCCCGGACATCTGTTGGCTGATGATTATGTTGAGGACTACGATGATTTTTGTATTCAACTGGACCTATTGTGGGCCCTGTACTGTACCTGCCAAGTTCTATAGCGAAACATTCCAAACATAGATTTGCTGTTATCATGAGACATCAACCGATGTCATTGGACTGCAGTGTCCCGTCAACTCTTCTGTTATATTCAGGCAATTTATCGTCGAAATAGGTGTTTTAAAATAAAATCTTGTATACACCCACTAGACGATTCTATGCCTTATTATATGAGAGAACTCATTACGCAAGGGGCAGATGAGTGCGCGCCGCAAGGCCACGAGGTCAACGACCGGACCAGCCTCCAATGATTGATGGAGAAATATAAGCAAATTAACGCTTGTAAGCACAACATGACTTTTTGTGTTGTTATCTAAATCTTAATGAAACATTAAACTTGAAATTAAAATTTGTTGAATGTAGGAAGGATCCCTCAAATGATTTCAGATAGCAAATTTATACAGCTAATTGTATCTTAAAATTTGTTGGTTTTTTTTGCAAGCGCGTACGAGCGGTACCCAAAACACTATATATTTCTGTAGAAATATCTGTAATAGCGATTTTTTTATGCCAAACGTGTGGAAACCACGATGTTTCCTGTTTCAGTCGCGAAGCGGTCGTGCGTTCCAGCTTTAAGCGATATCTGTGAGATTTTTAACAACTTAACACCCATATAAGCAAATAGAATAAACTTGATAATTTTGTCAAACTTGGTCATAGGAGGAAAAATAGATGCCAGAATACCTCCCTCTCCTAGGCGTAGGAGAGACCAAATAACTGACCTGACTGACCTCTCTATAACAGCCTGTAGTGTGACCGAAATCCAAACCAACTGGGGGCATCTGAATCTAATAGAGAATTGCTTTTAGGCACGATCTTCACATATAAGAACACGACCAAGAAGAGACAATTCATACATTCAGTTAACCAAAAAAAAACAGATTGACACAAAGCTTTAGTAAAGGATTTAATAATAATAATAATAAGCCCATTTTATTTCCAAAAACAAAGAAAGAAAAAAAATCACCTCATCAAATAAGAAATTACAAAATTAAATATAAGCTTGTGTTATTGGAACCCCATTCGGGTATAGGCCTCCTCCAGCTTACTCCACTCTTCCCTCGCCTTGGCTTTGTTTCTCCATTCTTTTCCAGTTGCTGCTATTATTTCGTCGATCCATCTGCTCTTTGGTCGTCCTCTTCTTCTTTTGCTTTTGCCTCTTTTTCTTTTTAGTAAAGGATTTATGTTTAGTAAAAACGATTTAAACGGTTTAATCCCACGTTTTACCATTTCGCATGTATCAAGTACTTTACGGTTTTCCTGGTCGCAAACGACCAAAGTGTTATACGTCGACATTTGAATATTGTACTTACTACTTCTCTATTTATCTGTTATTTCTTTAAAGTTTGCGTGGGGAAACTCTACAGCCAACCATTACACTTTTATTATACTGAGACTGTAACTATACTGAGACCTTAGAACTTACATCTCAAGGTGGGTGGCGCATTTACTTCGTAGATGTCTATGGGCTCCAGTAACCACTTAACACCAGGTGGGCTGTGAGCTCGTTCACCCATCTAAGCAATATAATTTTTTTTTTTGACAAATCTAATCATAGGCCTAAGAATTATGGCAAAAAAACTTGATATTTACCTTCTTATTATGGACTTATCTTTATTTGTTCTAATCTTCACGAGTTATCTGTGATTCGAAAACTGTCCCGTACTCGCGCCAATTGTACCAAGTTTTAAGTCAATCTTAAGTTTTTTTTTCCATACCTAATCGCTGGTAAACTAAGGGCTATTCCAGTTACGCACGGTTTGTTGTGTAAACTCATGGGAATCAACCTGAAAGGACTTGCTAACACCAGACCTGGCAAGAGCAGTGTTTCGCTGGTTTCTACCGGGGATAGGACCTCTTGCAAGTCCACCACCGTGCCTATTTCAGGTGGGCTGTGAGCTCGTCCAACCAACTAAGCAATAAAAAAATAAAAAATAAACTAGCAAGAGCAGAGTTTCGCTGGATTTACACCGTATCGGAATCACGGCCCACCCAGAAGTTTCGGAAAGATACTCTTTTTTTTTCTACCTAAGCTGATGGTCTATGGAACCGTATTAGCGTCACCGGGCTAGTAGGTGAGCTCACAGGGCTCAAACCTGACGATGTTGCTAACACGAACCCTAGCAAGAGCCGTATTTCGCAGAATCTACCACCGGATCGGAAACGCGACCCACTGAGAAGATCCGGCGAGAAACTCAGTCGATTGTATCTATAATAGACTATATGGACTGGGTTGCACGTCAAACTCGTCCCGCATTAGAAAAAAACAGTGACCGATGCTCGCGTCGTCTAAAAGCACCGAGTGGATCGGGAGAATTGAATAGGAAATGTTAATATGTTAATCATACGAGCATGAACCGCACTATCACTCACAAACAGGCATCTAACAATCTATATATTAATACGTGAAGCAAAAACTTTGTATCCCTTTTTACGAAAATTGCGCGGACGGAGGAGTATGAAATTTTCCACACTTATAGAGAATATAGAGAAGAAGTGCACAATGCTAATATTTTTTTTAAATAATTTATAAAAGATAAATTAAATCAATAAAGAAAACATTACACACACTACATACCATGTATTTGACGCACACACGCATGCATACTATTTATTGTCAAACTTTTGTTCTTGACGTCTGTTGTTAAATTGAGAATAGATTAAATATTGTTTGTCTTTATTAATATTTTTTATAGTGTAGTCTTGGCGAAATTTGTGATTATATTGTGAGTATAAAATACAATGATAATAGTGTACAAACATACAATTCCAATTAATTATAGTCGATTTTCGACTACTGCGGGACCTCTAGTAACTTTAGATACACGATTGTGTATGATCGTTAAAATAACGGCTGCTATATTTTATTGCGGCGTCTGAGTGCTTCGTTTTATGTTTGTACTTAAATATTATTTTATTGGTTGTATTAAAACTTCCTTTTATAATTTGGCACCAATTGGTTAATTCCGTATCGACTTGTTTTTTTCCTATTTGTTTCGTTAAACCAAAAAAGGCCAGGTTTAATCTTTACTGCATAGATGACCTAACCAACTCACGGCCTGTCTCGTTTTAAGTGATCATCATATTCTACGGACATCGCATCGCGAATGTCTTTCTTTATCCTTCGTGAAACATTCGAATTTTCAATTCGTCAAGTAACTACTTCACTCTTAAAATGAGAAAACATAATCGATTCGCGGGTCGCGATTCCGATCCGGTAGTAGATTCATTCGCTAAGCAGTTGATCTTGAGTTGTTATGTCTCCTTTGGATGCGCTAGGGTAGCTGTTAGAAAATCCCGCCCCTCCTGGGTGAGCCCTTGCTCGCCCACATGTCCTGGTGAAACTGGAAAGGCCTCAGGGCCACCAGTACCTAATCCTTTAAGCATAAAAAAAAGGATTCCGGCATTAAATTAGCAGGATCGTACCTATAGAAGCTTACCATATGCTCTAAAACCAGAAATTATAGAAAATTAAATTGCGCATTTGTATTTCATCACACGATTTTCTTTCTTCATCGTGGAAGTCGTTCGTAAATACAATACGTGAGTGTATAAAGAAAATGTAAAAAAAAAACCTGTCTGCGGGATTTGAACACTTAACATAGTCGCATCGCTTGATACCAGTAAATCGTGTTCCGTATCATTCTACCACCACTGCAATTACGGTCCATCTAAGATTAGACAACTGAATAGTAAAATAGAGAATTATTACTGGTGGTAGGACCTCTTATGAGTCCGCGCGGGTAGGTACCACCACCCTGCCTATTTCTGCTGTGAAGCAGTAATGCGTTTCGGTTTGAAGGGTAGAAGAGCCGTTGTAACTATACTGAGACCTTAGAACCTATATCTCAAGGTTTATTACCTCATAACTTTTGACTGGGTGAATCGATTTTGATGATTCTTTTTTTATTAGAAAGCTGACGCTTTCCGTGTGGTCCCATTTCAATTTAGTCCAGTTCTGATTATGGTATCCTTGAGAAAACCATGTAAGTCTTATATTTGCATTAAGTACGTGGGCGACAAATAGATAAATAACTCAATATCACGCCAACCGATTTCGATGATTATTGTTTTCTATTCTCTCTCTCTCTCTCTCTCTCCCTCATTAGAAATATTAAAACATTTTTGAATATTGAAATATAAAAACATAAAAACTAGTGAAGCAATAGCTTTAAATGTTGTTTCTCTTTATAAAGCAACTCAGTTTATGCTATAGTTTTATTGGGCTAAACTTTATTTTAATCGGTGACCGTCCTCGTCGAACCCGTCGCTTGCCACGAAGGGCTCGACGAGCCAATTAACCCACAGACGCAGCCCACTGATTTTCTCGCCGGATCTTCTCAGTGGGTCGCGTTTCCGATCTGATGGTAGATTCTGCGAAGCACTGCCATTGCTAGGACCAGTGTTAACACTCCGGTTTGAGCCCCGTGACCTACATGTTAGGGCGAAGCTGAAATAGCCTCTTATGGCTATCAGCATAGGTAGGAAAAAAAAGTTATTTTAAATGTGAATAAAATAATACATTATACATATTTACAGGTCAAAATGCAGAGTCCGATACTGATATTGTTAGCTGCCTGCGTCACCGTTCGCGCCATCGACGGCTCTGACAGCAAGTTTATGAAGGACTACGCCATGTTGAAGGTGAGTCCTTGCCAATGTAACTATGTACTAAATACTTACAACATACATATTACTCATTATAAGTACATACTGATACTGCTATTGAATATTGATGAATCATGAAATCTTTTAGCGTTCAAAAGAAATATAATGCGGTTTGAAAAAGCAAAAGTATAATTTAAAAAAAAAGAACCAAAAACATATAATATAAATCGGAAACCGAAGTAAAAATTAATTTAACCTTTTTGTTATTATCCTGTTGACACTGATCAGGATATCAGAGCAAAGTTATGAAATTATTTTAATTATTGTTACTAGAGGTCCCGCAGTAGTCGAAATTCGACTATAATTAATTGGAATTGTAAGTTTGTACACTATTATGATTGTATTTTATACTTCTATAATCACAAATTTCGCCAAGACTATACTATAAAAAATATATTAACAAAGACAAACAATATTTATTCTCAATTTGACAACAGACGTCAAGAACAAAAGTTTGACAATAAATAGTATGCATGCGTGTGTGCGTCAAATACATGGTATATAGTGTGTGTAATGTTTTCTTTATTGATTCAATGTATCTTTTATGCATTATTTAAAAAAAATATTAGCATTGTGTACTTCTTCTCTATATTTTCTATAAGTGTGGAAAATTTCATACTCCTCCGTCCGCGCAATTTTCGTAAAAAGGGATACAAAGTTTTTGCTTCACGTATTAATATATAGATATTGTTATATCTTCGATGCGTGCGTAAATTTTCAAGTTAATCTGACATTTTGAAGTCGGCAAAAATGACGTTCATAGATCCGCAATACATATATCGAGGGCTAAGGCTGTTTGGGTGAAGCGTCATTTTTGCAACTTTACAGGAGAGTCATTTAGAAGTTTAAATTTTATTAAAAAATAAAAATATATATTATAAAAGATCATATCATTACTGTGCGTAGGACGTCTTAGAAGTCCGCGCGGGTAGGTACTACCGCCCCGCCTATTTCTGCCGTGAAGCAATAATGTGTTTCAGTTTGAAGGGTGGGGCAGCCGTTGTAATGTTAAAACTAAGACTTTACAAGTCATGTCTCGATGTGGATGGCGGCATTTACGTTGTAGATGTCTTTGGGCTCGGCTTACCACTTTACACCAGATGGGCCGTGAGATCGTCCACTCAGCTAAGAAATAAAAAAAAATATTCAGCTATATGAATGCAGTAAACTTAATTGAAGTTCAACTAAAGTTGTTGCAAAGTATGACTTTATAATTTCATTTTATTTTTATATTTATAAAAAGACTAGCTGACCCGGCAGACTTCGTAGTGCCTCAATCGATAATCTATATCTATACTAATATTATAAAGAGGAAAGATTTGTTTGTTTGTTTGTTTCGAATAGGCTCCGAAACTACTGGACCGATTTGAAAAATTATTTTTCCATTAGAAGCCGACATTGTCCCTGATGAACATAGGCTACTTTTTTTTTAATTTTTTTTATATATTTTTTTTTTGGTTTCATGTGTGTTTTAATGTTTCCGAAGCGAAGCGAGGGCGGGTCGCTAGTGTATAAAATAAACTTAAAGCAAACAAAAGGAATCCGTCCGACGGGGGACACATCAAAGGAAAAGCAAAATTGTTATTTTTATTTAATTCCGCACATTTTCATATTTATCTAACCTTTTAAACCTTCTCTGGACCTCCACAAATAATAAAATAAAATAAAATAATAAAATAAAAGACCAAAATTAGCCAAATCGGTCCAGCCGTCGAGTTTTAGCGAGACTAACGAACACCAATTCATTTTTATATATAGAGATTGAACTGTTGATGCTAATACCAGATAAACCACACACAAAATTACAATGATCAATGTCGCTTAAACCAAATAGTCTTTCACCCCTCGATATCTTTGCACGTAATACATAGCAAGTTAATAAGAGCGTGTATTGGTCGTTTTGAAATTGCTTAATTAAAAGGGCATCTTGTTAGCGTTGCTAAGCTTGTGATTAAAATTTTATTTATTATTTTTATTCATGAAATAAATAGCTACTTTTATTGGCGTTGATAAAAAAAAGTAGTTTCAATATCAAAAATGAATCACGACGCAGTCGGTAGGATTCGAACCTACGCTCCCAGAGGGAATCTGATTTCTAGTCAGACGCCTTAACCGCTCGGCCACGACTGCCATGTCCATATGAAATGAATTTACAATACCAATACTTTTTAATTTGTAAACAAAAAATAATAACTTATTTACTGTTTTACTGACATCTTAGACTAGCTTCATGTCTTTATTAAGAAAAAAAACGCGCGGTGAAATATCGGTTTGCAGAAAACAAGGCCTTCTTATTCCACGGACTTTTTCTTACGGTTTTTACTATTACATTTTTTTCAGTTCGGTCGCGCAGCAAAATCCCTATCTCCTCCAAGCCTGCCGTAAGGAACTTCGTTCCAAAAGTAATTTACAATAAAGAATAAGTGTATTATCTATGTTTACAATCAAAATGTCATCATCGAAAGTTACTGTGCTGACCGATTGGTGTAAACTGTAAACATATAATCTATTACTTGATATAACACTTTCTGGTCCTAAGACGCACTTAGACATGGCGAAGCTTGACTGCCCAATTAACTTCAAAAAAAAACATTTTACTACAGCTATACAAATATTACGTAACGACAACACTATTTGAAATTAGTAGTTTATCAGTAATTTGTACGTCAGAAATTTAAAACCAATTTTTAACGATATAACAAATTCTCATTCGCAGATCTACGAAAGCTGTTTCGGTTCTAATTTACTGAAACAGATCACAAAGGAACTAAGAGACGCTTACTCAAAATGTTCAACAACGCCATCTATGAAGCAAACGCAGAACTCTTTGCCGTCTTACCTGAGTAACTTGGCGCCTGGCTTCGCTATGGATCCAACGCAGTCCAACGTCAAGCACACAGATGGCGCTATACAAAATGATGAAAACGATTTACCGAATCAAGAAGCTCCGCAATCACAGAAAGTCGGCGGGATATTCGCTTTTCGACCTCAAGGGGTAAAATAAAACAAAACATTTTCACTAGCCGTGTGCCTCCTGTGAGGATTGAACTCACGACCCCTGGTTTACGAGACCAGTGCTCTACCACTGAGCTAAAGAGGCGATGAAGACGGCGTCGAAATTATAGAATACTTTACTAAGCTAACTTTATTTAATCAATAATTTTATTAGGTTTTTGTCTTAATGTTGTTCTAACGGTTTATACGGATGATTTTTTCCACTAAGTAATCGTTGGCAGCCTATTCCAGCTACTACAGCACAGACAGGTAGGTGAGCTCACGGGCTCAACCTGAGAGAATTGCTAACCCTGATCACAGCAAAACCAGTACTTTGCTGAATTTACTACCTGATCCAAATCGCGACCCATTGAGAAACGCAGTGGGTTGTGTTTATGGGCTAGGTTGCATATCAAAAATTTTGTTGAATATAAGTCCATGCTTTGTGAGCAACTAAGAATGGATCTGGAGGATCCGACAAGACATGTCTTGGGCAATGATGGGTTTGCGTTGCACCATCGCCTGGGTCGAATATGTAATTACAGGCGGCCACGATAAAAAGGTTATCATGAATTACAATCTAGCTATCAGATAAAAGAACAGAACTAACTACCTTGTCGGACAATATTATGTGCAAATGTAAAGTCAATAATATAATATGACCTAGAAAATGAACTATGTAGAAAATTAGTGATGTCCATGGACATCAACAAAAAAATTACATCATTACAAACATTGTTAATAGAAAACCGATTATGAAATACCAACCACGACATCTAGGCATTCAGATAAACCATTGCACACGAACAAACAAAATCACAAGCATCCACGTTTTATAATATAACATTAATGCCGCAGGTTCCATTCCCCCAGCCCGGAATGTCGCCATTCATGATGCCGGCCGGGCCGCAGTTCCGCCCGTATAACCCGGCCATGTTCCAGCTGCCTTACCAGGGCTACCTGCCCCCGGGACTACCCTACAACCCCTACTATCCTCCGTACCAGTTCTACCAGCAACAGCCCTACGTCGGAGCCAATCGGATGTCTGTAAGTTTTCAATAAGAATTGCTTGATAACAAACCAGCGTTCAGAAGGTGGGACCATTGAAATACTAGCATCATAGTCGGTTTGTCAATACTTTCATAAAAAAGAATTCCACATGGTCATGTGATAGATGTTCTCCATAGTTTGCGAACTGAGACTTGGCGCCGTTAATCCGGGATTTAGTAAGGTCTAGTATTGAAATACTAGCTTAATGCCAAATTAGATACCTGAGTACCAGGTTGCTTGGATCGGAAACGGTGGGCTCCACCAGAAAACACTAAAAGATGCAACCCAAGCGTCCAATTTGAAGTCGCTGTGGCCTAAAGGATATGACGCCCGGTGCATTCGTATCGAGCGATGCGGCGGTGCCAGCCGGTGTTCGAATCCCGCAGGCTGTCACCAATTTTTCTAATGAAATACGTACTTAATAAATGCTCACTAAAAACTATCACGTTATAGGAATAACATCATATAATAAAAATCAAACACGTAAAATTATAATTTGCGTAAAAAAAATTTTCCTACTTAAGCTGATGATAGCCTTGAGAGGCTATTTCAGCGTAACCTTAACTAGTAGGTGAGCTCACGGGGCTCAAACCGTCAGGTTCACGTTCATCACGTTGCTAACACGAATCCTAGCAAGAGCCGTGCTTCGCAGAATCTACCACCGGATCGCGGAAACGCGACCCACTGAGAAGATCCGGCGAGAAACTCAGTGGGCTGTATCTGTGGGTTAATTTACTCGTCGAGCCCTTGCACGATGACCGGTGCTTGAGGTACCTAAAAGCACCGTTAGTGGATCGGGAGGATCCGAAATGACGTGTTTTAGGCGAAGTCGACTGCTTTCCATTCTGTCCGCAGGATTGGGAATGCGTAATTACTGGTGACATGGCCTCTGGTGAGCCCGCACGGGTAGATACCACCACCCTGCCAATTTCTATCGTGTTTTCTTTAGGCCCCGGTTTTGCCGTACATTGCCATCGTGCTCATTGTTTGAAGATTATAATTGACGTCCAACTCTCAAGGCATGATGTGTACAAGCTCTAACAACAGGTTATCTGCAAGTTACCTTGGGCCTCACTTTTTTCCCAACCTTTTCGCTGGTAGCCTATGAGACTATTCCATACGCCCTGACGGGTAGGTGAGCTCACGGGACCAACCTGAGAGAATTTGCTAACACGCATTAAGCGGTATGCAGCGGCTTGGCTCTGCCCCTGGCATTGCTGAAGTCCATGGGCGACGGGAACCAATCACCATCAGGCAATAAAAAAAAAAAAAACACTAGCCCTAGCAAGAGCAGTGCTTCGCGAAGTCTACCACCGGATCGAAAACGCGACTCGCTGAGAAGATCCGACGAGAAACTCAGTGGGCTGTGTCTATGGAATAGTTCAGTCATCGAAATCTTCGTCGTAATCGACGAGTTCGACAATTCAAAACCTGTTTCGAGCGAGGGCGGCTTAGGATAAGAACCCCACATAATTATCGCTTTGTTTCCTATTAAAATACGACGTGAAAAATAATTTGACAGCGCCAAATCGGTCTTCGAACTCGACTGGGACTCCACGCCCCACGCTCCGTGAATCACAACGTGACCTGCGTGATGCAGGAACTGGGTTACGTGGACGACAACATGGAACCGAACTTCGAACACATCAGAGCGAGGATCGGCAGCCTACCGGTCTCGGATGAACTCAAAGGCGACATCCAAGAGGGCCTACAGTTCTGTCAGAAGTTTTCGGTAAAGAAATTTATATTAACAAACTTCGCCTATTTTAAATTTGTTATTGAGCCCTTAATCCCTTCACTCTATGTCTGCTGCGATCTTATATTCAGACTGAAAAGCCTTATAAATAATTGAGACCTCATGTCTCAGTATAGAAGGCGATATTGTGATATCTATGGACATCAGAAACCAATTGACAATTAAAACAAAGATATGTTCTCAATGATACGCTTAACAGTCTTAGTTTTGACCCAAATAAAATCTAGGTACCCGTCTAGTCTTCTTCTGTTATTAATATAATTCTGAACAGTTTATTCGTACTTTCTCCAGCAATGCGTTCCGGAAGAGAAGCGTGATATAGTAGCCAGACCACAGGAACAGATCAGATCGATTTTCTTCTTCAGATGCTACAAAGTAAGAATTATTTTAAATTCTCAGCGTAATGTGTGATACGGCGTTTCTTAAATATGTTTCGATACACATTGACGCGAAACTAAAATTTGCCAGTAACTAAATCGATTTATTTATGTGTGGCATTAGCTATTATAGAACACAAGATATTTGACAAATGCCCAAATCACGCTGACGACATTTTCAAGATAAATTTGAATATGTACAAATTCCGATAAATAACATTCGGACCGTCGTTCTACTAAGCAATTACACTAGCTATGTAGAAGATCTTTCTTCCCTTTGTCTGTTGTTATTCCCAAATATGTTTTAACCACATCTGTTATCTGTCAACACACATTTCACTCAAATCATATTTTTTTATATTTCGCCTACTTAAGTGCATTGACTACAAATATTTCGTAAATCGGGACAAAGGCTTCTTAGAAAAAGAGGGAGGTTCGATATCGGAGACATTATCAAGAAAAAACTTGTAACATTTGTTTTCATTTTACTTTGCGATTTTTCAAATTAAAAATATAAAGATTTAAAAAATAAATAAATATTAAGCAAATAGAGATTTATTGATTGGAATATTATTAGTTATAAATACGCTCTTTGTTCTTTCTGCGTGCAAAGAAACGTAAGCGTCAGTAAGCGTTTCAGTGTTTGACCGCGAAAACTGTACAATATAATCTATTCGAAACATTGGAAATCATAAAACGAGGACTTTTTGGCGGGAACGCGAGGAGTGAAGTTGTGTGATTTGTTTTATTTTGTCTATTTAGTGTTTCTTCAGGTTTAAATGTGTAATAACGGTGGTTTATTAACCGTTTGATATCTGTGAAAGTGCACAAATGTGGGAAAATGAAACAAAGCCGCTCGCTGGACGTAACTTCTCTGGATCCTCCAAAAAGTCCACTGAAAAAGTCTCAGTAAATGACCACCATTTTACTGAGATTCTATTTCATCCCATATCATCTCATCTCATTTCATATGATTTCATTTCCTGTCATTTCATCATATAATTTTCATACAAAAAATATATATAAAAGATTAGGCTATAGGTACCTTTGCCTTTCCAATTGGAAAAATAAAACTACTACTACTCATAAAACGAAAATAATAATAATTGAATGTTATATATCGACGCTTGAAAGGCAAACGTGACTAAGCGACAATAACTGCTTTATACATAAATGATACGCAATAACCGTATTCGATGCGATAAAAATATATTTCTAGGTCTATTAAAATCATTTCAATCCTACAGCTAATAGAAAATTAAAATATATTTTTTTCAGGTATTTCAACTTTAAATTAGTCTACGGTAAAGTTCATGCATTGTCGCTTAGTCGCGTTTGCCTTTCAAGCGTCGATATGTAATCATATGTGAGGCGCGAAAACGAAAAATATGTAGTACAATGGAAATTGCACTAAATTTACGTACTCTTAAAGACCAATTTTCAACAGCACAAGAAACTAGAGGCGTGCATCATGAAGGACATCAATGAACACTTCGCCAAGGAATACGCTTTCGACCACGAGACGCCCGATTTCGCGTAAGTTCTAATCTAACTACCAAGGTTCGCTTTGTAATCGAAATTCGACCTTTATTAAAGGTGCTCCAAGATTGAGATTACATTTTTGGTGTTAGAATTTTTATGACATTAAAACTAGTCGATCAAAAATGAAAACCGACTTCGAAGAAATAAAATGAGAATATTGTGAATATAGTTTGGAAGTAAGATAGCCCAAGAACCAATGATAAAATTTAAAATGGTACGACACGACGTGGACACGACCAACACGAATGAGCTCCCCTCCACGGTGTTTCCCGAGCGCTATGACATGTCCTTCTTCAAACGAAGCTTCTGGAGAGTATTAAACGGTAGGCAGCGGCTTGGCTCTGCCCCTGGCATTGCTGACGTCCATGAGCGACGGTGACCACTTACCATCAGGTGGGCCGTATGCTCGTCTGCCTACAACGCAATAAAAAATAAAAATAAAACGTATTTCATTGGAAAAATTGGTACCCGCCTGCGGGATTCGAACACCGGTGCAAAGCTACATACGAATGCACCGGACGTCTTATCCTTTAGTCCACGACGACTTCAATACAGTTTAATTGACTGTTTAATTGTACATAGGTACCAGAAGTTTCTCACAGTACCACTAATATAACAAATATTCTGTTCCAGTTACTCCCGTTCAGGACGCTCTGCTCGCGACCTCCCCCTCAGAGATCCGAGCCTCGAAGCCCTTGAGGAGATGGAGGTGTACCTCTATGACTATCTTAGCGGAGGGGGCGCCTTCGATTTTGACCTCTACATCTAAGTACTAGCGTAGTACTTGACCTCTACATCTAAGTACTACCGTAGCACTAAGATACGATAACTGCTTCCTGAGTCGCGAAAGGCGAGCAATTCCCGACGACATGACGCCTATCCTGCAGTCGGTTTCCTGCGACCCTATCGCAAAATCTAACATTAGTTTCACGAAAAAAAACAACAGAAAAAAAAATGGCTCTAGCCATTTGAACGCAAAAGCTATAATAGTTTAATAACAAGGAATATTGCAACACCCAAAAAAATATGATTGTATTAATATCGGTTCTGATATTGTGAATACGGGAGGGAGAGTAATATTGTGTTCGGTATAATATCAATTAAATCATGAATAAAATTAAATTTTCATCTCATCACGTTGTATTAAGAGAAATCGTTTATAAAATCATAATTAAATAAATGTTTGTATTATTATTTTCGTATTTAATCTACAAAATATTATCAATACTAATCAGATCTCAAATAAATTATAAATTCAAGGGTGAACAGAATATATTTAGTTTTGACAGAAAACTTTGCATTATCGACATTAAAAATAATTTTTTTTTAAAGATTGCTTAAAATCATCAATTAAGCTTTAGCACATCATTCAAAATCAAAATACAAAAAAGTATATTTTAAAAACATTTTATATCATGCCATTACTTTCATTAGTTATCATACTATTAACAACTAGTTTGGAATGTTATTACATTAATTATGTCCATTTAAAATTAGTTTTTTAATTAAATATTGTATTTTATCATTTGTAACGGTGTGGAACGTTTGCTACGAAATATTAAATTTCTAAATTCGTATTGTGTAATATTCGTAAAATAAAAAATGAATCAAAATGTTACCGTAGCAAATTTCGAATTAACTCGTCTCCAAAGCTATATTACACAGCTTTTTAGATGACTTAAAATTTACTTATACGAACATTGCATTACAATTAATTTAAGTTAAAAATTTAGTTAATATTCATCATCATCATCATTCTGATCAAAAGTATGCCTTATAAATTAATAAGTACTATATACAGGGTGTAATAGAATCGTTCTCCAAGTTCAATATTAATTTATCTAAGCCAAGCGTTTACGTTTTAGTATAGAGAGTTAGTTTGCTCTTCTATTCTCAATCGAACGCGTATTTTAGTATTGACGTATTAAGGATCAGCAAGATCCGCTTATGGCCTAGGCCGCACTACGGTTTTTTCCCGGGAGCGGTTAACCGCTGTAACCGCGAAACCGCTTAATACGCACAAACTACATTTATTAACCGCGAATTCGCCCGCGATTTTCACAGTTTGGAGATGGGTAAATTTCAAAAGAGCAGTAGCAGTGTGGCTCTGGTACTAAGAAATAGATAAAAAGACAACGAAAATTTTACAAATGTTGGGTCTCTCCACTTACTAGCCATAGATTGGAGAAAGGTTTCTTTCATAAGAAACATCGAAATTTAAGAAAACCCCTAGAGAAATTTTTCAATTACTATCGGATGTCAGTAGCCAGTTTCATGGAAACAAAGTTTCGCAAATGTATTTGACATTTCAAAAAAACCGCCCGCGGCTACGCATAGTGCGTGCACGGATACCTAGTTCTATGGATTACAAATTTTCTTGCGGTTTTTTTCCGCGACAATTTTGTAACATTTCGCGGTTTTAAAATCAGTCGCGGGAAAAAACCGCAAGTGCGGCCGCTTGTATTCGTTTTCGTGTTTCATAAACTCACACGATTATTAACCGCTGCGGTTTCACCGTAGTGCGGCCTAGGCCTAACTTCGTTTACAGAAGTGATTTTACTACACCCTGTATAAAACATATTTTCATAAATTTAAAATGTAGTATTTTATTATCGGAATTCCACGCGTGAGACTAAAACGATAATATTAATATGCTAAAATAAATATAAGCTTTACGTACTGTTAGAATAGGATCTAACACTTGAAAATGTATTAATGCTTGCGCTCTGCAGTGTTGCGATCACGTCCTTACGGATCCATCAGATCCAATAACCCTTTTATTAGACGCCTTCAGCTCTAACATTAGAAGCAGACTTAGGGACCCCTGTAACCGTACTCGTCAACCTCGACAAAGAGTTCGACGTGCAACCTAACCCATGCATCGGCCCGCTGAGTTTCTCGCCGGATCTTCTCAGCGGGTCGCGATTCCGATCCGGTAGTAGATTCATTCGCGAAGCAGTTGCTCTTGAGTTGTTAGGTCCCCTTTGGAGGCGCTCGGGTAGCTGTTAACAAATCCCACCCCTCCTAGTTGACCATTTGCTCGCCCACCTGTCCTGGTAAAACCGGAAAGGAACCTGGGCCACCAGTAATCACTCATTCAAAAAGTGTTGGTACACTTTTAATCAAACATTGAGTAGAAAGAGGGTAGACAGATTTCTCTGCTCCTAAAGTCGCAGTCGTCCTACTACCCTCAAATTAAAAATCGTGTTAAGAACTCTTTGAATAATGGTATTTATTAAAAAAACTTATTAATTTAAGTAAGTAATTTAAATTCGCACCTCAGTTTTTATTTTATTAGTAAATTTTATGATGAAAATCTGTTTGAAACCATATTCCCTGTATATTCCCATTTGCAATATTTGATTAGCGTTAACAAGAAACTAATGCAAAACGACATTTAGCTAAGCAAATCAGAGTTCTAACAGTACGTAATTAGCAAAATATATACGTAATTAATATTAATTAGTTAATAATAAATGTACACGAAATGCATTTACTAATGATTAGAATTAGTTACGTTTTATATCATTAAGTTATAATTTGTAAAATTATATGAAAAATAAATGCTCAAATATCAGATTTACAGTAATTATTTTAAATGCTAATTCGCATCCCACAACACGACCCGAATATTAACTTGGCAATTTAGAAGGAATGGAACCCTTTAAATTTTCCCGGGATAAAAGTTTGCTTGCGTCACTCTCTGATCCCTTAGCTACCTATCGATTTGCTAATATCTATATATTAATAAGTGAAGCAAAAACATTGTATCTCTTTTTACGAAAATCACGCGGACGGAGGAGTATGAAATTTCTCACGCTTACAGAGAATATAGAGAAGGAGTGCAGAATGTTAATATTCTCTTAAACTATGCATAAACAATACATTAAATCAATTAAAAAAAAATATTACACACGCTACCATGTATTTGACACACACACGCATGCATACTATTTGTTTATTTATTAACTTTTCTTATTGTTTAAAGTCTGTGGTCAAATTGACAATAGATTATTATTGTTTGTCTTTATTAATATTTGTCTAAAGTGTAGTATTGGCGAAATCTGTGATTATAAATGTATAATAGTCTTTGACAATAGAATCGTAACAGTGTACAAACTTATAATTTCAATTAATTATAGTCAAATTTCGACTTTTTTTATGATTGAAGGATTACTGGTGGCCCGGAGGCCTTTCCAGTTTCACCAGGACAGGTGGGCGAGCAAAGGCTCAGCCAGGAGGGGTGGGATTTGCTAACAGCTACCCGAGCGCCTCCGAAGGAGACCTAACAGCTCAAGAGCAGCTGCTTCGCGAATGAATCTACTACCGGATCGGAATCGCGACCCGCCGAGAAGATCCGGCGAGAAACTCAGCGAGCNTAAACACTTCCAGGAAGACAGTTTATCGGCAGATGTACCACGAACACAGAAATAACAAAAGGAAACCAAACAAATAAAAACTTCCAGGAAAAACACTTGGTCGGCAGATGTACCACGAACACAGGCCGCGCGAACAATGGCCGGGCTAACAAAAGCCGGGCGAACAAAGGCCGGGCGATCGAGTGGTCGATGAGCACGTCTGCGCGTGACGGGTGCCTCTATCGGAATGGACCAAATTTCGACTGCTCAGGGAACACTGGTATTAGGTAATGGTTCACAAAGTAGCGAGCTCACTGTCGTATTAATTATAGCAAATATACCGAACCTCACCCGAGTCATGTCACTCATCATATTAAAAAAGTAATTCATGTATGTATTAATATACTTAATTAATCAATAATCCAGATAGTAAATTATCTCGATATCGAAATTTAATGCGAATCAATTCAGCCGCTTATGTAACAATGGGTAACAAAAATCCGAACAGACAAATTTACATATTAAAAACAATATTATTGATGCTTGCTTGATTTCGTACGATTTTCTATTATTTTTTTATTTCGACACACGCTCCTTGGGCCCGACAAATAGATTATTGTATTAATATTTCATAGTGCATGAAAGGGCACGTGTCGTGCAAAGGGACTGCAAAGGTCAAAACGTCTGAACCTTCATTAGCCTGTCAAACTGTTAACGACGCATTGATATCAAAATTTTTGAATTATAAACACGAATGGGCGGGTAAATTAGAGTACTTTTTTGTAATTTTCCTTTTAGGACAAACGGACATACGGTCCACTGACATAAAGAATAATACTGACAAGTCTCAAATCTCATTTGAAGATGAACATGTGTCATCGTTTAGCAAACAGTTTTGTGGGAAGTTCATTCCAGTCAATAAAGATCTCTGGGAACAAACTATAATAGAAGTATGCTCAGATGGAAGATGATGCGATCGTAAAAAAAAACGATAGGATAATCTCAAACAATTTATCAAAGTACTCCCTATGTACGAGAAACAAAGGTTACGTATACTCGTATGTACATTGCAATTGTGAATTCGCCTCAAAATAGGGGAAGTTATTTTGATTTACTTGTGGTAGGACCTCTTGTGAGTCCGCGCGGGTAGGTACCACCACCCCACCTATTTCTGCCGTGAAGCAGTAATGCGTTTCGGTTTGAAGGGTGGGGCAGCCGTTGTAACTATACTGAGACCCTTAGAACTTATATCTCAAGGTGTGTGGCGCATTTACGTTGTAGATGTCTATGGGTTCCAGTAACCACTTAACACCAGGTGGGCTGTGAGTTCTAGGCAATAAAAAAAAAAGAAAATGTAAATATGTGTACAAGCCACAAGTCACATATTCATGCGTCAGATTGCAAGACCTGAACTTATCTAAAGTAACCAATAATACCCACATCCAGAGAGTTGAAATTTAAATCAATGCCCACATCAGTCATATATAAATAAATAAATAATAGAATAGTACCTACTTTATTCATAAAAAAAACCGCATCTGTTGGTGAAATTCAAAACCCTTTTGTGAGAACTAAAACCAGACAGACCCTTTCTCCGAAATTTTTGCAACTAATAACAAAAAAAAAACCTACAAAAAAAACCAATATGGCTGTGTTTGTTCGCAAACGTATTTTTGTAAGTACAAAACTTTCTTTCGGACCTCATTTGAAGTGGTGTCTCATTTTTTGTACGAAAAATATTACCTGCTCGTAAAGAAAGAGATGATTCGGTGAGAATATTTCGAAATTCGCAAATACGTAG